CTTAAAGTTTCTTTGTGAAAGTATTCGAAAGATGGGCCCAGACCTTCGCTGCTATGCCTTTTCAATCTGAACGAGCATCGACTGTACACTAAAGCTTTATCTGCTGTCAGGACTTAGGCCAGCGATTCACTTGAGAAAGCCAGTACCAGACTAACGTCGTCTCAATCCATTATTCATTCATTCATCTCCCATCGCCGCTTCTCCTCTCGAGTCGCGGAGGCAGACGCGTCAGACACAGCTTCCAACGTTCCCGATCCTCTGATAGAGTCTGAGCTTCGGGAAAAGACAAATACAGTCTGGAACAGATTCTTTCCATATATTTGCACCAGGTTAATCTTGCCCGTCCCCTGGGACTTCTGCCGGTCGGATTTGCAAGGAACAGTTGCTTAGCCTTCCTTTCTGGAGGCATTCGCAGCACATGCCCAAGCTCACCAGTTAACGCTATTTATTTTCTAAAAGTATTCTCAATACAACTGCGTTCACAGTTGTTATACGGAGCTGGACAGATTAAGCTTCGTTTGGTTATTCGTGGCAGATGACCTGATTTAGTTTGTTGCTGAGCAAAAAACAAATGTCAGACGTTGCGAAAAGAACGCAGTAAGACCATGCTTTTATAGCAGCCTCCAAATTACTTCATATAACGTCAAAACATGGCATATTAATTTATCCCAGTTGCTTCTAACCGAAACTTGAAGGTTAATTACTTTGGTGCATATTACACATGAGTTTCACTTCATTTTTGCGTCTCGAGACTTGAGTGTGCTTCTAAAGAGGGTTGGTTTATACTCGCTTGATCTTCAAATGCAGGAGTCACAGATGAGATTGTCTGAGCACATTTTACGAATGCATCGAGAGAGACCGGCAAAAGAACTTCTACTCGCTGAATCGATTGCCGACTCTTCCAGAGATGTCTCAAAATGTCATGAGGGAAGTGCTTTGATTGACTTTTTCTCAAAATTAGTTTAGCTTCCCCCGAAGTTGAGATCCTGAGAGGGTTTGTAGCAAAAGCTTTGGGACGTCGTCAGAAGCTACTGTCCCCGCGAACGTGAATGAGGAGTGGTCAACTGATATACTGATTACGATTTTCGATCACCGTGTCGTTGAAGCATATTGGGGAAAACGGCTAAAACTGTTATGTGAGACATGAGCACTGGATTGTTCTGCTGTTCAATTCCATGTACGAACGTGCTTCTCCGCTTGTGTGCTCACGCAAAAGCAGCTAATTTTTTCTACCTGATCGAACTCAATACTTTTTTGAAGGCTGCAGGACTGAACTAGACAAATGAGTCAAAAATTACGCTTGCCGTAAACTTCCCTTACAGTTACGAATATTTCATCACAATCACAGGCGAATCAAACCTCAATTCTCATCAAAGAATGGAACATTTCGAATTCGAATGTGCTACGATGTTCATGACAAACTTGCGTGGTTGTTATATCGTCAGTACATCCATAAGACTTTGCTGGATAAGACTGTACTGAAAGCGGTAAAATATTCTTAGCCCTTCTGATTTCGTGCTTGATGATAGCTTGAGTAGCGCAAGAGTGTAGTGAAAGCTTGTCTTGACGTCATGAGTTGTCGAGTCAGTGTTCAACCGCATGACTCGACCGCACTGTCCTTGTAATCACAGGCAGAGTCCAGGTTTCTGCTTTGCGCACGTAAACTTGCGGCGATCAGCACTGAATTACTGCTGCGGCTCGGCATGCTCTGATATTCATCGAGGCACATCTGCACATTATAGACATACGAGCAAACACGGAACATCCCGTGACTGATAGCGAGTGATCCTGCTGAATAACCGACCGAATTTTGTTCGGTTTTTCGCAACGGCGCTCAGTTTATTAGTATGAATCACACGAAGGTTGTCGTGCCTAAATTTCCAGCCACAAGGCAGAAAGAGGTGGTCGTTTTGCAGAATATCGGCTTCTCGCAAGTAGTCGATTATGCGCTGAATATTGCGAGCAGACGCGAGAAGCGTGTTTGTTCTGCCGTCATTTTGCAAACCTGAAATGAACAGGTGCTACACGGCGCAGAATCATTTTCTGCCTGCGAAAGGTACAGCGCGAAATGCACCCATTCAACAGGCAACATAACGCGAAACGACAAGAAGAAATTGCACTAACCTTAAACATCAAACTAGACCCCTCGCAATCGATTGTAAAGCAGACTGGAATAAATGCCTCGAATCAAAGGACACGTGAACGTAACATCTATCACACGTGTCATTTAATTTGTCTCGTTGTAATGGTCCAGCTATCACATGAATATCTCGATTTCCTTAAAATATTTAAAAGACTGGGGCTAATACATCTTAAGCTTTTGTCGCTTACGTCATCTACGTTTATAACGCCACGATATGACGCGATGTTTTGTAGTGCCTGTTCCAAAACGAACTTTAGTCTGAGTTTCGCAAGGGTTAAACGATGTATATTTATTTTGCACTAATTGTACTTTATGCACTAATAATTCTGGCAGGATCGTTTGTGAGCTTTGCATATCAATAGATTTTCCCTCCTTACATGTCATCCAATTGTTTATGCATGTCTCTATAGCGTCAAAGAGTGAAACACATCGCGTCAAACGACCAATCCTTTATGCTCCTTAAATGGAACATTTCCAAACTTGCGAACAACAGTTTGAAAGACTGCATGACACTAATGTATCGAGTGTATGTCCTTCCACTGTTTCCTTAGTCGCTTACTGTAATCTTGTATTCAAGCAATTCCGCATGCGATCTGAAATCACTGCAGTGAGAGCAGCAAATAGTTGTGGCACAATGAAACACGTTGATCTGTGTGCTTTTCCGAAATACGTTGATCTGTGTGATTTTAACTTACTTAAATACTTATTCTTATTTCAGTAACGTACACTTGCGCAATGACATCATTGAAGGCAATCAGTCGGTGATTGGACGATAGGCGTCACGTGGAAAATTTGGCTATACTCACGTGGCAGCAGCCGATTGGTCTTTCATCACGACCAGGAGTACATAACTGTAGCGACGCGCCAAAATTGCGCTATGCCAATTTTCGGGCAAAAGAAGTGGCTGTTTTCTGAGTACCATGGAGAAGTTACTTGCCCTCTTGCTAACAAGTAAGCGAATTCATAGCACGGTAAATTAAGAAATCTGTTTTATTTTAGTCTCATCCTTAACGTTGACGTGTGCAACGTTGCTTGAAGACGATGTGCCTCCGTTTTATGAGTTCACCTTGGAAGTGAATGCCGCTTCGATATCGTTCGATTCTGCGTGTCCTAAGAAAGTGTTCATTTTGAATAACTTTCTTCTCGCCCTGAAAAAGAAACCGAAAAGCACGAAGATCGATTTCCGTCTATGGGAGCCTAAAATCGTTATGTTTACTAATCAGTAATGAATTTAAAACTTCCGCCTCAATATTTTAATATTCTAGGCGATCGGGTGGAGTACGGTTCTGCATATCAGATGTATCGATTTCAAACGCATGTGGTCTGCAAAAATTATCCTTCTAAACCTTTCATTGCATTGGGCAATGCCCCAACCCCACTGTGTTTCGGTGAAACCAACAAAGAAACGGGTCGCAAGTCGTAGACCTGGGAGCAATAGGGACAGCTGGTTGTTCTGTAAAATCGTACAATAAAGTGCGACCTGAAATGATTAGATGTCAGCGCATGAACTTTGGCAGAAAGAAATCAGAATCTGAGGAAGACT